GATGAAAACATTGATAGTATGGCATTTAGATTTGTGGGTGACATTACATTGGGAGAGATAATTATTGTTAAATTCCAAAGAGATCTCAGATTGAAATGATAAATCAAAATAAGATAAACTTGGATAGAAATAAATATAAAGCACTTTGAATCTGTCTGAAAATAACTAAGTGTAGAGTAATAATATAATAATAACTACCATTTACTAAGCATCTGCTATATGCCAAGAAATGTGCTAGGCTTTTTCATGTATTAACTAATCCTCACAGCAAATCTGCAGAATAGATATTGCTATTTCCATTTAAAATGAGAAATCTGAGACTCAGAGAGGCTTATCCAAGTTTACACAGCTTATTAGTGGCAGAGTCAGGATTCAAACTCAGGTTATTTGATCTTGAAGACCATGCTGTATCTACTATGCCACAGAGGTATATAGCTTAACAACATTGTGAAACATTATCTGTAAAAAAGACTGGGAGTTAGCAGTACAATGTGACTGCCAAAACAGCTAATGCACTTCAACTACAGTGTTTAGGAAAAGAGAAGTAATCACCCATTCTACTCTCTTTTGGTCAGTCCAAACCTAGAAGATTGCTGGCACCACACTTTAAAAGGGTACCCTTTCATCTCCATCATCATCAAGAAGTAGCTATAGCTGAATGTTTGTGGAAAAAACACTAGGGAAACCAACCTCACATTGACCATCCCCAGCAGTAAATTGGTGACCACAAGACATAGAAATTTGCATACAGGAATCTGCAAAGTAATGGAACTCTAGTTGTCCCTGTGGATCTGTTACTACAAATCCCTACCTTCCACATTTGCCTTGTTCAGTTGTCTTTTTGAGGTAGTTATAGAAGAAAAATTTTAATTACCATTGTTGGTTTCATTGCATTGTTGACATTGAAAATGTGCTAGAACCACAACAGTGGTCATCCTAAGTAATGAAATATGTGATTTTTGCTGAAAGTTCATAAAATTTGTTCTTAGGAAAGCAAGCCAGATTTGAGATTTAAGATAATAGACCTAAGGATAGCGCTAACCTTTCAAACACCCAATTTCAAGTGAATTTAGTTTTCATGAATTGTGAATTGATAACAGTTTGAAACACTGAAAACAGTTCTGAGCACCTGCATTTGGGGCTAAGGGAAATATTTGAAGCTTTCCCCGGTAGACTGATGTTCCAGTGAGTACACACACATGGTGCAACTGCAATTCATTTTGAAATGTGTTCCTTTTTTTCCAGTACTTCTACAGAGAATTTTTAAAACATTTTCAGTTATTTCGTATGAACTAAAAAGTTGGTAGCTCTCTGCAGGCTGCCAAAAGCCATTGAGTGGTAGGAAAGTGGGACAGCTTAAAGGGCTCAGCATGAGAATCTCTACAACTAATCCAGTTTTGTTCTCGTAACAGCACATCTTGCAGGCATGAATTAACCACTCTCTAGGTGCCACACTTTTCCTTTTCTTTTCAATGCTTATGTTTTTCATCAGGTTCCTACCAGTCAACCTGAGAGCGTTGATGATTGGCTGATATTATTTTCTGACTGGAATATCAATCAGCCATTGAACCAGCCATTCAAATTACTGTGTTCAGCCCTTAGAAAACTGTCAGAGAATGGGAACAAAAGTTTATAAACTCGGTTTTTCTGTTACATAGATAATAAGATATAATAATAGTATGTTATTGATAATAATAATATCTTATATCTTATTGATAATTTGTGTTTGTTGGGGTTACTTGCCTTCAGGGAGAAGGAATTCATATCTTCGTTGTTGTTAGTTGCCATGGAGTCAATTCTGACTCATGGCTGCCTGGATGACTATTTGTAGAGCTGGTGAAAACTGTTTGAGGCCATTGGATAGATTTTAATTTTGTTTTTTAACCAAATAGACTTTATAACTACTTGTGAATATTCTTGACTTGGGCTACATTTCAGTCTACTTCCTTACCTCGATTCCATGTACTTCATATGTTGACTAGTCAGAAGCTAAATTTGGATGCCTCGAGTCATTTCAAATACATTCATAAATCAAAGAAAATTTTTCTCAATGACAAGCATTTTAGAGTTTGTATTATCATTTAAGATAAAATATCTTTAAATAAAAGATATAAGAACAATTTATATTGTTACTAAATAATAATTGTTACTATTGCTGAATAGTGTTGTCCCATTGCTGTCTTTAAACCAAGAATCATCCTTTACTCTACTCATTCCCTCACATTTAACATCTAGTCCATTCAGCAAGTATATAATCTCTACCTTAAAAATATATCCAAAAATCAACAACTTCTTACCACTTTTACAGCATTGTATAGGAATAAAGAACAAAGGCCCTGGAATCAACAAAGGCCTGGTTTGAGTCCTGGGTCTGCTGCTTGCTAGCTGTCAGACCTTGGGCAAGTTAGTATCTGTGCCTCAGTTTCCTCATCTATAAAATGAGGGTAATAGCAATGACCTACATAATATACCTGTTATTAGCATTATATGACAGCTTTTTTTAACAGTGACTGACACATTAAGTGCTTGATGAGTTGCTATAGGACAGAGTCGAACTACCCCATAGGGTTTTCAAGGAGTGGCTAGTAGGTTTGAACTGCTGACCCTTTGGTTGGCAGCCAAGCTGTTAACCACTGTGCCACCAAGGCTCCTAATGAGTATTAGTGTTATTATTATTATCTTTAGTTATCACATAATTTAAGTCAAGGCCACCATTTAAAGTGGGCTCTAAGATATGCATCAGATCATGTTACTTTCCTGCTGAAAAACCTCAAGTAATTTTACAATTACACTCCTAATAAAATCCAAAGTCCTTTCTGTGGTCTCCAAGGCCCTGTGTGACCTGACTGTCTCTCCCACCTAATCTCTGGCCGTTCTCTCTAGGCATAGAGGGCCTTTGTTCCTGCTAGAACTCTTCCCTGCTCTGCCCCACCTCCAGTCATTTTAATTGCTTTATCCTGTTTTAATTTTCTTCATAGTACTCTCCACGACTAGAATATAAGCTCCACAAAGGCAGGGACTTCACCTGGCTTGTTTTATCATTGTATTGTCAGCACCTAGAATGATGCCTATACATAGTAGTTGGTTAATATGTATTTGTTGAGTTAATCAATGAAATGAACAATATAGTTTACAAATATATGCCAATTCGGATGCTTTCTGTGCTTTCAAGTGTATAAAATAAAAAACTTGCATGAATATTGTCAAAGTAAATTCTGTAAACATCATCAAAAGTTTCTCTGGGGTTTTATAAAAACAGCATAGTAAAAGAAAGCAATAAACTGGGAATAAAAATATTGGGTCCTGGTTCTCATTCAGTGTCTGCTACTGCAAGATCGCTTGATGTCTCTGAGCCTCTGCTTTCCCAACTATCAAATGCAGGCAGACCTAAATTGACGTCTCTCTGGCACTGGGAGGGGCCCTGAGCCCCTCTGCTTTAACTAAACAGCTTTGTTTATATCGTCTTTATATATTGAGGTTTCATGTTAAATTTGGTTTGAAAAAGGAGTCTGGTTTTTAAAGTTTTAAAACCACTGAATTAGAATAGCACAAGTATTCTTTTTAGCTCAATGATTCTGCATCTGGTAGCTTAACTATTTAAAGAATGTTGTTTCCTCTCCATTCTCCCCACCCCAAAGAAAAAGAAGACTTCTTTTTCAAATATCATAAAGAAAATTATGATATATAGATAAATAATAAAATTGTCATCACCAAGACTGTGAGCTACATTAGAGCAAAGACCATGTCTGTCTGCCCACCACTGATGTACCATTGCCTAGCACAGTGCTCAACACAGAGCTTCCAAAATCAAACCCACTCCCGTCAAGTCGATTCCGACTCACAGCGACCGTATAGGACAGAGTGGCTGCCCCATAGGGTTTCCAAGGCTGTAAATCTTTATGGAAGCAGACTGTCACATCTTTGTCCCACCACGTCTTTCTCTCGAAGAGCGGCTGGTAGATTCTAACTTTCGGTTAGCAGCCAAACACTTCACCACTGCGCCTTCAGGTCCCCTTACACAGAGCTTACTCAGTATATATTTGTTAGATGGACGGGTGGGTGAATGGGCAGGTATTTGGAGAGAGACAAAACTTATTTTTAAGTGATAATATATTTTATAATTAACAGATGAAAGACATATCTTAAACTGTGATACTATTTTCAAGTGAAGTCTTATTTTTTTCAAGGTATTTATTGGATAAGCATATCGTAATAGATAATTTTTAAACACTGCTTACTAAATGACCAATTTATTAAATCTTCCTTTAATTCCTAATGAATTTTCTGATAATTGTTTAAAATATAAAACTAAAAGTATCCGATATAATCTGATTTTATTTCTTGTCCTCCTCCCCTCCTTTTTTTCGTTTAAAGTAGTATGCTTTTAGAATGTTAACTTTCAAATAGAAAGCAATGTGCCTTTTTATCATGAAATTGTACTGTGGAAGGCACTTAAGATAATAATAATCAGCTTCTTGGGTACAACTTTGAGAGCACAGTTGGTCATCAGTTTGACTTTTAAATTTGGCAGACGTGCTTGAAGCTGATAGGAAAAGTTTTACTGAGATTTCAAACCATTTTAGTTGAGGTAGAATCAAAGTGAAAGTAATGAAATAGTAAAATGTTGAACTACTGACCTGCAGGGTTGTTTTAGGAATAGAACTCAGAGTATCAGCTTTACATTCTTGAAAAAGCATGTAACCATAATATGTTTTAGGAAGATATAAGAATCATGTGTACACAATGATATGAGCCTTAGCCATAAAGCTACAAAATATTCTCACCTACACATTGCCTGATAACATTTTGATTTTTGGTATGTTATCGTATCAGTCTCTGAAAAATGCTTTTCTTCAGCCACTAAAATTCTTTGGTGTATATGTGTGTTTAAGTATGTGTATTAGTACACTACAAAAAGTATGTGGTTATTAATAGTGTATTACATTGGATATGATTTGCTCATGTATTTATTTTACTTATGCATTTATCTTTCCCTTTAGGTAAAGAGGATGAATATCCCAAGAAACCTTTGGGGCAACTTCCACCTGAAAATCAGTCTGCTGGTGTTAATCACCTGAGCAACGGACAACGAAGTGTTGGCAAGTCAAGTCCCCATACAGGCAGCAGAAGAGAAGGTGGCACATCTCCTCACAAAAAACATGAGCATTCCCCTCGCCATCAAAGTAGAATTGGCACACCAGAAAGAGTAAGGCAGCCAAGGCGGAAATCTGTGGATGAGGATATTAAAAAGCTAAAAAGTGAGGCAGATTTTGAAGGAAAACTTCCATCAGTTCCCCATGACAATTCTAAGCAATATATTAATGCAGCTGCTAATCATAATAGCAATGCTACTTCAAAGATCAGAAAGGAATTTGTGCCCAAATGGAATAAACCTTCAGATATTTCAGCTGTTGAAAAAACTGCCAAATACGCCATTGAAGGCAAAAGTAGATTAGCAAACCCTACACTTACCATCCCAAGTTCTACTGATACCCGAATATCAAATGTAAGGCAAAAGATTAAGGTTTTGGATGCTGATGAAGGGAAACGTGGCTCCAATGCATCACAGTATGACAATGTACCTGGAGCTGAAAATGAAAATGGAGCTTCTGTTGAAGAGGCACTAGAAAGGGCTTACTCTCAAAGTCCAAGGAATCTTGTTCATTCTAACAGTCCAAGAAAGTATGCTGAGTCACGTTCGATTCCACCAAAAGTATCAAACAATTTTACTTTTAAAGTACAGCCTCCAAGTTACGGAAGATATCCACCTCAGTTAGATGGAGAAGATCATGAGACAGTACATCCACCATCCTATAGTAATCCCCCGATTTACCATGGAAATTCTCCAAAACACTTGCCTACTGCTAACAGCAGCACCGTGTCTCCCCAGGTTAGCCATGGGACTCAAATTAATCCTTCTAGGAGACCTTATGGTTCTACTCTCTCTATAGATACTTCTCCAGAGAAATCCTACAGCCGCCCAGCTCCTCTTGTACTCCCATCTAGTCGAATAGAAGTTCTTCCTGTTGATATTGGTGCTGAGGGATATTCAAGGTCACCAAAGAATGGAAAATTTATCATTCCTCCCGTGGATTATTTGCCAGATAACAGAAAATGGTCAGAAGTTAGTTACACATACAGACCTGAGATACAGGAACAATCATGGCATCAAGATGCTAACCGCAGCCACTTAAGCAATTTACCAAAATATTCGGCCTTTCAACACGTAACCTTTCAGGACCATAACCTCCCAGCGGTTTCAGTGGATAGCCCTGTGCGGTATAGAACTTCGCCAGCTTTAGAAGATGCCAATCCATCTCCGTTTCAATATTCAGGGCCCTCGCCTCCAGCATATCACTACAGAAATCGGGATGGACTGTCTATTCAAGAATCAGTATTGCTGTGAGAATTTTATCTATACTTGCTAAAGACACTAGAACAGAAACCATACGAAACCTACATTGCTGTGTTTATAATTGCCAAAGCAGTATTTTATACGATTGTAAACAACTAGCACAATTCTCATGTATGTTAGTAATAATAATATATGGAAATATTTTCATCCCATGTAGATGCTGCTTAAGGTGAGCGTTTTAAATTGCATCATCACTGAACCTGTTAAACGGAATTTAACATGGAAGCATAGCAATAGCATTTAGGGATGCACACACAGTGATAATTCATTACTCAGTTTCATTTATATCTTTCTCCAAAACCTGACCGTTTTTACTCTATTGGCCCATTCTATTTTGAGTAATGTTACAAAGCACCGAAAAACCGCATAGAATAGATATTTTTAAGGCCACATGGAGCATATGTGTCCTTTAATAGATAATTGTAGGCATCTGTGCATACACATTTGAACACAGAACTAAGGAAATGTTAAAATGACTACTTTTAATCTAGATCCGTGGAATAATTTGCTTTTCTTGCTTTCCTTAGCTTGTCTTTTAGTCATTTTTCCCCCTCTTTTTAACCTAGGCCCTAAAACTGACTAAAGAGATTCCCTGGCTTTATTAATTCAACATCTCACAGAACGGTCATCAGTCTCCTTCAGCTGCTGCCATTTTCTTTCAATATGAAAATTAAAGACATTGGAGGGAAAGGCTAACCACTTAATGGTGCTTAAAAATTGGGGCAGTTGAAGTAAGTTATGGTCAAGGGCGCAGCTCTCATTGTATCCATTTGCACTGAGATCAGTTTTAGTGCTTTCGCACACTTTGTTCTGGTCTGCCTCTTGAAAAGCTCAGAGCAGAATATTCCTTGCCAGATCCAGAGGAAATGCTGCAATACAGCTCTCCAGCAAATGTCAGCAGGAGAAGTTGCAACTTACTGATCTTCAAGCCCTCACAAGGGGCAGCAGAATGAACTCCTTTAAAATTATTTCGAAATCAGGATTAATACTTCTTCTGTCCCTTAAATTCTCACAGGGCTTCACCACAGAGGGCCCCAGGGTGGTCATTTACACCATCTTTTTCTGGCACTCTTTCTTTAAAGAATGTAGTCAATGGATGTTGCTGCACTATCGGGCCATTAAATTATCATTGTGTAAAACTGTAAAAAATGATCCCACCTAATTATTAATAGGAATCTAAGATTTTGGTTTTTAAGAAAAAATAGTATGACTTTCATACTTTGTGAAAACCCTGTTTTTCTCTTTCAGTAAAAAAAAAAAAAAAAGTTCATGGTATAAAATTTAAAATATCTTTAAAAATATTCTATTACACTACAATTACTGCAACTTTGACAAAATTTGGGGCTGTCCAAGAAAGTGTGGCTTTGCATTTAATTGGAGAGCTTACCTTCAGCATTACGTTGCTCATATTTGAGTAATAAGAGAGTAGAAAACCTAACAGCAATGGCTCTTGTTACAAGTTGGGGCTTTAAACTTTCAAGGTACAAAAGTTTGTCTTTTAAAATGAAAGTAACATTTGTTTAGCTAGTGAATGTGACTATTTTTTATGTATATAATGAGTCTAATGTAATTTTAATCAACTTGGTAATGATGTGATTAAATGGCAAAACAAATGCAGTGTATTAGCAGCTAAGCACTACACTGAAGCTCAAAATCCTGATAATATCACTGGGCTCTTGATTTAGATCATGTGGAAGCATAGAAATAAATGTATATAAAATTGTAGCTGAGGATATTATTCTAATTTTTAAAACCATGATTCTGTGATTTGTAATAAACCAAGCTGTACAATTTAGTTTATGATAGCAGCATCTGAGCTGCTCCAAAATATATATATCAACAGTGGTAAATACTGTAGATTTATACATATATATATACCCACATACACACTATTTTCTTATGTCATCTATGACATTTTTTATCTGCATACTTTTTTTGGTGTGATTGTTTTTAACATGCTAAAAGTAATAAGTATATTTTGTTTTCGTGTCTTTTATGTGCATTTTTTTTTCTTACGGCAGAAGTGCTGCATCTGTGATGCTTCTATGGCTAATTCTCTTCTAATTGAGTAGATATTGCCCAGTGTTCATTTATATTACTTTATAGTATGTCACAATTCTCTGTTATATGCTTTACTAATTTCCAGTAATACCATATTTAGAACTACATCCCTTTTCCTGTATGTTATTTACTATGCCATTGTTAATAGCAATAAGATAGTATTTCCAGCCTTCTCTATTATAAAATGTTGTTCTCTATTTTTTTAAGTAGGAAATTTTAATTTGAAATTATTTTGCCATCATATAATTTTACCTTTTTGGATTTATCTTTTAATAATTAACAGATAAAAAAAAGTGAGTCAAAATGTATTTACAAAACATTTGGTAAGGATTTTTATGCTATGAAGACTTTTACTCTGTAATTACCTATATACATGGTTTAAATATTTTGCCATTAGTAAGTCTTTTCTTCTTGGCAGTTTTGCTTAGTTTAACAAGCACTTTGGTGTAGTTTTTATTTTCTTAAATTTAGTTTGAAAAGTTAAACAAACTAGACCCAGGGTCTCAAAGGGTTTTGTTTTGTTTAATAATTATTGCGTTTTAGGTGAAAGTTTACACAGCAAATCAGGTTCCCCTTTAACAATTTTTATACATATTATTCCATGCCATTGGTTACAATTTTTACAGTGTGTCAGCGTTCTCATTATTTCCGTTCTGTCTGTTCCGTTTCCATTGATTTAGCTTCCCTTCCCCTCGTTGCTGTCTCATCTTTGCTTCTGGGTAAATGCTGACAGTTTGGTCTCATGTAGTTAATTATTTAAGGGAGCACATTACTCACGGATGGTATTATCTATTTTATAAGCTATTGTTTGGCTGAAAGGTAACCTGTAGAAATAGCTTCAATTCTAAGTCAAAGGGTATCTTAGGGCAGTAGTCTCGGGGATTCCTCTCATCTCAATCAGTCCAGTAGGTCTGGCCTTTATTAGGTCTGGCCTTTTGTAGGAGTTTGAGTTTTGTTCTACATTTTTCTCTCATTCCACCTGGGACCTTTTTATGTCCCTGGTCAGAATGGTTGGTAGTGGTAGCCAGGCACCATCTAGTTCAGGTCTCAGGTTTGAAGAGGTGGTTCGTGTGGGCTGTTAGTCCCATGGACTAGTTTCTTCTTTGAGCCTTTGATTTCCTTCATTCTCTTTTGCTCCATATGAGTAGAGACCAATAGTTCTATCTTAGATGACCGCTTGCAAGCTGTTAAGACCCCAGACGCTACTCACGAAACTCGAATGTAGAACATTATCTTTGTGAACTACGTTATGCCGGTTGACTAAGTTGTTCCCTGAGACTCAGGTCCCAGGCCTTTTAACCCAGTAGACCAATCCCACGAGTTGTTTGGATATGTCTAGGAAGACTGTAACAATGCCCCCATGTGGTTTGTTATATATGTGTATATATGTGCAGCACACACAAATGTGTGTATACATATGCCTACAGATACACCTATCATGCACGTGCATTTACTTGCATATGCCTTCCAATACACATACGCATCCATATCTACCTGTGTAACCACACATGTATTTTTTGGTTGTTTTTACTGTTGCAGAATTATATATGTTATATAGCATTTACCGAAATTGTCCCTTTTTCTCGTGTACTTCTTAGTGTCTTTATTTACCTTGGTCAGGTTGTGCTGACTTCACACATATTTGAGATTGCCTTTTCCATCACCGAAAGTAACAAGTGTCTACTATCTAGAAAGTGATTCCCCCTCCCTCTCCCTCCTGTCCCTGGTAACCATCAAAGAACTTAGCTTTCCGTATGTATATCTATTCTTGACTTTTTGTAATAGTGAGACCATACAGTATTTGTCTTTTTGTGATTGACTTATTTCACTCAGCATAATGTCCTTTAGACACATCCATGTTGTAAGATGTTTCATGGACTCCTCATTACTCTTTATAGTTGCATAATATTGCACTGTATGGATGTACCACAATTTGTTTATCCATTCATCCATTGATGGGCACTTAGACTGTTTCCATCATTTTACTATTGTGATTATTCTGCAGTGAACATAGGTGTGCATATGTATGTTCATGTCACTGCTCTTATATCTCTGGGATATATACCTATGAGTGGGATGGCTGGATCAAAAGGTATTTCTATTTCTAGCTTTTGCAGGAAGCACCATACTGTTTTCCATTGTTACACCATTTTACAGTCCTACCAGCAATGTATAAGAGTTCCAATCTCCCCACAATCTTGCCAGCATTTGTTGTTTTCTTTTCCTTTTCTTTTTTTTTTTTTTTTTTTGATCATTGCCATTTTTGTAGGAGTGAGATGGTATTTTATGGTAGTTTTGATTTGCATCTTTCTAATGGCTAATGATCACAAGCATCTTTTCGTGTATTTGTTGGTCGCCTGAATGTCCTCTTTGGTGAGGTATCTGTTAGTGTCCTTTGCCTATTTTTTGACTGGATTGTTTGTCTTTTTGTTGTTGAGTTGTTGAAGTTTCCTATATATTTTAGGGATTAGACCCTTATCAGATATGTCATTGCCAAAGATTTTTTCCCAGCCTGTAGGTTCTTTTTTTACCCTCTTGGTAAAGTCTTTTGATGAGCATAAGTATTTAATTTTTAGTGCATCCCAGTTATCTAACTTATCTTGCATCATTTGTGCATTTTTATTTTTGTTTGATAGACTATTTATGCCAAAAATTAGGTCCCCTGGTTTTGACCCTATGTTATCTTCCAGGAACTTACAGTTTTTAGCTTTAACATTTAGGTCTTCGATCCATTTTGAGTTAATTTTTATGCACAGTGTGAGGGAGGGATCCTGATTCACTTTTCTGCATGTGGAATATCCAGTTTTGCCAGCACCATTCATTAAAGAGACTGTTTCTTCCCGATTGAGTGGACTTTACCATTTGTCGAAGATCAGCTGCCTGTAGATGGATGGATTTACTTCTCCGTTCTCAGTTCTGTTCCGTTGGTCTTTGTGTCTATCACTGAACCAGTACCAGGCTATTTTGATTACCGTGGTTGTATAGTAAGTTTTGAGATAGGGAAGTGTGATGCCTCCTTTATTTTGTTCTTTAATATTGCTTTAGCTATTTGGGGCCTCTCTCCTTTCCATATATAGTTGGAGATTAATTTTTCTATTTCATTAAAGAATGTTGTTGGGATTTGGGTCGAGATTTCATTATATTTATAGATCACTTTTGTTAATATTGACATTTTCACAATGTTAAGTCTTGTAATCCATGAGCATGGAATGTTTTTCCATTTATGTAGATCTCTTAGTTTCTTACAATAGTGGTTTATAGTTTTCCTTGTATATGTTTTTTATGTCTCTGGTTAGGTTTACTCCTAGATATTTTATTCTTTTAGGGCACTGATTTTTGTGTGTAGATCTTATACCCTGCCATTTTGCTGAATCCTTCTATTGGTTTTGGTAACTTTCTTGTGGAATCTCTGGGATTTTCTATGTATAGGATCGTGTCATCTGCGAATAAGGACGGTTTTACTTCTTCCTTTCTAATTGGAGTTCCCTTTACTTCTCTTTCTTGCCTTATTGCTGTAGCTAGAACTTCCAGTACAATATTGAATAAGAGTGGTGATAAAGGGTATTATAGTCTCATTCTTGTTCTCAAGGGGAATGCTCTGAGTCTTTCTCTGTTGAGAATAATGTTGGCTGTTGGTTTTGCATATATGCCCTTAATTATGTTAAGCATTTTCCCTTCTATTCCTATTTTGCTAAGAGTTTTTATCAGGAAAGGATGTTGGATTTTATCAAATGCCTTTTCTGCATTGATTGAGATGATCATGTGATTCTTTTCCTTTGTTTTATTCATGTAATGAATTCTGTTGATCTTCTTATGTTGAACCATCCTTGCATCCCTGGTTTGAATCCCACTTGATCGTGATGCATTATTTTTTCGATAGGCTGTTTAATTCTGTTGGCTAGAATTTTGTTAAGAATTTTTGTGTATATGTTCATGAGGGATATCAGTCTGTAATTTTCTTTTTTAGTGGGGTCTTTGCCTGGCTTTGATATCAGGGTTATGCTTGTTTCATAGAATGAGTTAGGAGCATTCCTTTTCTATGTTCTGGAATAGGTTGAGTAGAATTGGTGTCAACTCCTCTCTGAATGCTTGGTAGAATCCTCCAGTGAAGCTGTCTGGGCTGGGACTTTTTTTTTGTTGGGAGTTTTTTGTTTGTTTGTTAATGATGTCTTCACTTTCTTCTTTTGTTATGGGTCTGTTCAAA